TAATTTAAGGGCCTTAATAATTAGAATAGGGTTCCTTTTGTAGGGTTTTAGGGTTTTAGGGTTTTAGGGTTTAGGGTTTAGGGTTTAGGGTTTAGGGGTACCCCTTAAAGGGTACCCCTTCTGAACCCTACTTTTGGCTCTCTGAAAAGGGACCTTATTGAGAGGGTCTATATCCCCAAGGGTCCCCCTAGTCCTAGCTCCCCATTTTGAAGGGGTCTATATGGGCTACTATGATGGAGCTACAAGGTACTGTAATGTCGGGGCCTTGGTAAACTATACTTATACTAAGGACCCCCCCCCCAAAAAAAATACTGTTGATAGTATTCATCCTGCATTGTCTTAAGGACGCTAAGCTATCGGAGTTATGGTTTGTTCTTTTTTATGGGTAATGCAGGATTTTTATCATCAGCCCTAAACCCTAAACCCTAAACCCCAAATATCGTATAGGTAACCATTAACACCCCTATGCCAATCCGAAGCTGTTCGTTTAAGGATTCCCATAAGGGTTTATGGCTTAGTATAGGGGCTTTGATTCATTAGATTTGGGGAGAAGATTGTGTTATCAACATAATAAAGAAGCCCCCAAAATGGTACTGTTAATCATTTAATAAGGGACGGAATGAACCCCAAAAAGGTTTCGTTTAAGGATTCCTATACAGGTTGTTATGGGTTCGAGCGGGTTTAGAACCGGTTTCGGGTTCATATACACTATAGGGATTCATAGTATAAGGGTATAGGGCCCTACTTATAAGGGACATTTGTCCCCAAGGTACTCACTATCGATTCCTCTTGTACCAGAACGCTCTGTAGTCTGTAGTATGTAAGCCGGCTTACATTTTAAGGTTTCGGGGTAAAGGGGCAGCCATGAACCCTGAACCCTAAACCCTAAACCCTAAACCCAACCCCAAAACTCGTTTGGGGTCGGCTTGGATCTTCATTCCTCAAGCTGCTGGGCCCACCCGCCGCCCGAGGATGCGCGGATGGACTGCACGAAGGCGCAAGTGGTGTGCGCAGATGTCTTCGCGCTGCCGGAGGATGGTCCAATCCTTTTGGATGGAGGTGGGAGAAGACGGGCCCATTCAACCCTATAAGCCCCCTAAGCCATGTGGGGGTTTCCGAAATTGGGGTACCTTATTTTGGGGTCCTTATAGTAAGGATCCTATTAATTAGGATACTATATTTGGGTTCCCTATTTTCGGAAACTCCCATGTATGGGGAGGAATTCTTATAGGAGCCTCTATAGGAACCCTAATTATAGTGCTAATCACCCAGACCCCTTCTATCGGACCCCAAGCCCTATAGTGTGGTTATAATCAGGAACCCTAAGGACTGCTGCAAATCGTTCAGTCAAGTGCATGGGAAGTTCTCCAAATTAGGCTCCCAGTTTAGCTCCCCAAAATAGTACGGCACCTGAAAAACAAGACCCAAAAAGAGAACCTAATTTAGAGAACTGCTTCCGTAATACAACTCTACCGGCGATTGGCAGTCTAACCCGGGTTTCCTTATTGTGAACATACTACAAAGGAGCCCCAAACCCTATTCTGTTTGTTAAGGCCCCTACATTCATCTCTATGAACCCTTGAGCACCCTACTCTCTAAACCCTAAACACCCGGAAAGCCCCGAAATTCTAAACCTGTAGCGGCTTCGGCTTTAGGGTTTGAGGGTTTATAGTCGGCCTGCCAGTGAGTGTGAGCTTTAAAATCTCTAAACTCTGAACCCTATAGGGTTCAGAGTTTAGAGTTTTAAACCTCAAACTCACTGGCAGTTAGACTTACTGCCCTTCAAACCCCTCATCGAACCCTGGAAGAACCTTTTTCGCAAACCTTGTTCTAATTGTCAAGGTCCCTAGAACTCCAACGGCGACTCGCTTACAGAACCCTCATAAGACTCATGGAACACTTTATGGATGATTGAAAGAGGCCCCAGAAATCCCTAAATCCCTTAAGAGGCGACTGGCAGTTTGACTTCATCCCTAAACCTTAAACCCTAAACCCTAAACCCTAACCTTAAACCCCTAAATCTCTATAAGAGGCGACTGGCAGTTTGACTTCATCTTCGACTGTCAGTGTTTCCACTGCCTCTACCAAGTCGAGCCGGAAGCCGCCGCCAAGGCCCTCCCCGAGCCTCAACCCCAAACCGTCCAAGGGTCATGGGACTTAAAAAGGGGCCTAAATAATTATCTATATTATTTTTGGGGTTCCTTTTTATGGCTATAGTCTACTGGGCCTCAAGACCCTCTTCTAATTACTAGGGCCCCTACATTAGCGACTTAAAAAGGTTCCTTCCAAGGGATGGAACGGGGTTTAAGTCGCGCAGGGCCAGGGGCCTGTGCACTTCAAAAAGGTTTCTTGAAAGGGTTCTACAAGGGATCTACAAGAGGGTTTAGGGTTAAGGGTTTAGGGTTTAGGGTTCTACAAGGGATCTACAAGAGGGTTTAGGGTGTAGGGTTGAGGGTTTAGGGTTTAGGCTTCTACAAGGGATCTACAACGGGATTTTGGGCTTGAAGGGTCATGGGAGTTGGTCTCTGGGCCTGTAGATAAAGGTATCTATAGCCAGCCTATATTATAACCCTAAACCCTATACCCTATACCCTAACTCCGAGTATGGTGCCTTGAACCTTACCAGCTGACTCCTACGATTCTCCGACTGCGCGGGGGTGCCTTTGTACCGCCCCTAAAAAAGGCAGGTCTCGGATCTTGAGCCCTTTGAAGCCCTTGCAAAAGTCTGTGGGTTTAGGGTCTACTTGTAATTATCCCCAAACCCTACCAAAACAATAGGTTATGACCCCTTAGTTAGAGGGTCTAACCCTTAAAACGGTAGGTTTTGGATCCCCAGGTAGGGTTTAGGGCCCTAAACCCTAAACCCGAAACCCTAAACCCCTAAACCCTAAACCTTAAACCCTAAACCCTAAATAGACCTTGAGCCTTCAAGGCCGAAGCTCACAAGTTATACTCGTAAACCCATAATAAGTCTCTGAAGCTCTTCGGCCTAATCCCTAAACCCGCAAGGCCTAATCTTGGTTGAACTTCACAGTCACGTTATAGCTTTATCACTTTTAGGTTTAGTCTTTTTTGATATTAGGGTCAAGAAAAATTATAATTTTAGCAGGGTAGTAAAGAGCCTTAAAGTAATCCCCAAACCCTTATATAAAACAAGAGCCGCACAAGCCCTGCTCCCTAATCTTCCTAGAGGGTCTATATATACTACTATTATGGAACTACGTCCCCCCCAAAACCATAATGAGGATGGGTTTTTGTGGGCCCAATTCCATGATGGCAGTATCTATCTATGTCTGTATCTATCTATCTATCTATCTATCTATCTATCTGTCTATCTATCTATATCCATACATGTATGTATAAATAAATAAATAATAAATAAATAAATAAATAAATATATATATATATACATATATATATATATGGGCCCTCTGGGCCTGAAAGCCCTTGAGGTCTACGCAAAACTGCTGGCGCCCGGGGGGAAGCTGCTGATGCTGACGGGAAACTCAGAGGACCTGGCAGGGAGGGGCTTACAGTTTAATATAGGTTTAGGGGTAGGGTTGTTTAATATAGGGGCCTTAATAATTAGACTAGGTTTTTGATTTGGGGTATGCTATACTGTATCTATCTATGATAAGGAACCCCCCCCAAAAAAAAATAGTAGCGGTGATAATTTAGGCCCCTATATTGGGCGTTCAGGGTTTAGGGTCTTCCTAAACCCCACGCCCTAAACCCTAACACTAAGACCCTACACCCTAAACCCAAACCGTCGAGAGAGTATAGCTTATACTCCTAAACCCTAAACCCCTAAACCCTAAACCCTAGGGCTTAGGATTAGAGTCTTAGAGTCATGTCAGCCCAGAGTTCGGAGCTTGGAATTTTGGGTGTATGGTTTACTGTTTGGGGCTTTGGGCTTAGGGGTTTAGGGTTTATGGATTCAGGGTTTAGGGTTTAGGGCTTTGGGTTTAGGGCTTTGGGTTTGGGGCTTTGGGGTTTATGGTGATAGGGATTACCTGGACCCTCAAGAACCTAGTCTCTGAGGGTACCTTATTCTGATTTCCTTATACAAGTCCTGAAAACGGTAGGTTCTTCAAGGCCCAGGCAGGGTTTCGAGGTGACCTCCAAATACTAGGATGTCCGGCTCCAGATGTCGAAAGATCATTCAGAGTAATATAGGGGCCTTAATAATTAATAACTAGAATAGGGGTATACTATACCAAAAATGAAAATAAGGAGCCCCCCCAAACTAGTGTAGGTAATTATTAAGGCCCCTGCATCATGGTGCTGGGGGTTTTTGTGTAATTACTCGGAGCTCTTAAGGAAAGCTGATTCTTGACATCGTCAAAGGGGTCTGCTTCCTTGGGCCGTCAGAACAATTGCCAGCTGCCTGCGCTATTCATGTAAGGAAGAAGCATGTGCTAACTGCGACATTTTGCAGCTACCAGCACCAAGTGTAAAGGTCATGGGCACAGGGCTACTGGAACAGTAAGTCGCATCACCAGTACTACGAGCTCTACATCCAAGCCTCAACCGGAAACAAGTCCTACATCCGAAATCCTAAACCCTAAACCCTAAACCCCTAAACCCGAAACCCTAAACCCTAAAGAAGTCCTACATCCGAAATCCTAAACCCTAAACCCTAAGCACCCTGTGCAGGAAGTTGCCTCAAGAGGCCCAGTGCAGCTGTCCCACGAGCAGGCTGGGTTCTTGTTAAAAGGGTTTAGGGTTATAAGGGTTTAGGGTTTAGGGGAATATAGTTTCAGGTACCAGAATGTAGGGATCTAGCTATTGTAAGCAGTCTTGTCTCTTGATTATGGTAACTTAAGCTGAACTGCTTCACCACAGTCCAGAATCTGGACTTGATATGACAGCTTGGGTATTAGATCTTGCGTTTGTCTGTCGGGATTGTTAGTGCCCGATACTGCAACTTTTGAGGGCCAAACTTTAATCACTGAAAATTCAGCCCTTACCGTTTAATGATTGGGATTCTGAACCTTCACACTTTACACTCCCCGAACCACTAAACTCGCAACTTTTATCTCGAAACCCTAAACGCTATCAGCCAAGCAGCGCCGAACGGAGAGCCGCATGGCAGCCTTGTTTGCACTGCGATCAACGCCCGCGGCAACCTGCAATATTGAATCCTGAATGAATAATATGGAAGCCTAAATCATTACCTATACTATTCCTTACTTAGGGCTCCTTATCATAATTATATCATAGAGGAGCCCAAAACCCTATTCTAACCATTAAAGCCCCTATATGGGTAGTTCTCAAAATAATGGTCCCTTTTGGGGTACCCTAAATAAGAGGTGCCGTATTATAATAAGGACCCCAAAAGGGACCATAATTTCGACAACCACCCATATATCAGTTTCCAAGATCAGTCCTTCGGGCTTCCCCACCACCTGATTCCTAAGTGGTGTTAGGGAGACCCTTGAGAGGGGTTTAGGGTTTAGGGCCTAGGGACGCTTCTTCACCCTACCCAAAATGGAGCCTATTGAGGCAGTCTAGGGTTTAGGGTTTAGTGGTTTATAGGGTTTGGGGTCAGGGACCTAATTATTGAGAGGGTATATATCCCAGGGTCCCCCTAAATCCGAGCTCTAGCTAGAGAATAGGAGTAGTACTCCCAGCCTTGTTTTTGTGTTTATTCAGGATTCAGGCCCTAAACCCTAAACCCTAACAGCCTCCACATCCTCTAAACTTCTGGAAGGCACAGGCCCGTAATCTTACGGTTTAAGTTCCTGGATAAGCCGCGAAACAAAGCTCCAAACACTACAAGCCCAAAGCGCTCTCTTTTGCCTATGGGGGAGGCCACTTGCAGGAAATCCCACTATCCCATCCTTTACCCTAAACCGTAAACCCTAAACNNAAACCCTAAACCCTAAACAGGTCTTCCATGCCTTCGACGACACCGACCTTTTCTGTGCAGAGTTCTGGCCAAGAAGATGGTGGGTTGGGGGTTTAGAGTTAAAGGTTTTGGGTTTTGAGTTAAGAGTTTAACATATCTGACTGAGAGCTCGTTCAGGAGGCACTTCACGCAGGAGCAACGGCACAAAGTTTAACATTATGGGTTGAAGGTTTAGGGTTAAGCGTTTGGGTTTTTGGCTGTATTGTTGACGTAGAGGCCTGAATGAGTTTCGGCTCTTGACTTTAGGGATCTTGGGACTGGCATGTGGGCTTGTAGCATTTACAGCTTGCAACTGTAGTCTGAGGTTTATGCGTGGGATGTCTGCGTGGCCTACGTAAGTAGGGCTTCTTCTCATGTGCTAAACTGAAGTATGAAGGGCCCATGGAAGGACCAAAGTCAAGAACAAGGCAACATGGACACTGCGCCGAAGTTGCTTGGGAGGGCATAGCATAGCAGTCCCAGTAAGTAGTGCCGGTAGCATAACCCTAAACCCTATAAACCCCAA